GTTCCAGACTTGATTTTCAGACATGGAGTCCATCTCAGATTTCATGGCCTCTTGCCATTTTGCAGAGTTGGGGCTCGTCATAGCTTGCTTGTATGTCGCCGGCTCATCACCATCCATAACTAGGATGTCCTGATCATCAGCTAAGACGATACCGAGGTATCTGTTTGGTTGAGATCTTTGTCGTTGCGACCTACGTAGGGTAATCGGTTGAGCATTTACATTGTCTGTTTGACTCTGACCAATCTTCTCAGATGCTTCCAAAGTATCTAGATTGTCAGTTTTGTCAGGTTGACATTGTTGCTCGTCCTCTCGAACTTCGTCGAGTTCGATTTTCCTCCCACTTGTCATTTTGGAAAGGTGATCCTTCTCCAAAAAGACACCATCACGAGCAACAAACACTTTGTTCTCGAATTTATTGTAGAAGTAATACCCTTTGGTTTCTTTTGGATATCCCACAAAGAAACACTTATCCGATTTGGGGTGAAGTTTGTCCGAAATTAATCGCTTGACATATGCTTCGCATCCCCAAATCTTGAGAAAAGACAACCTAGGAGGTTTCTTAGTCCATAATTCATATGGAGTCTTTTCAACAACTTTTGACGGAGCTCTATTCAGTGTTAGTGCTGTTGTTTGTAGCGCATGTCCCAGAACGAGATAGGGAGTTCACTAAGACCCATCATTGACCAAACCATGTCTAACAAGGTCCGATTCCTCCGTTCAGACACTCCGTTCCATTGAGGAGTTCCGGGAGGTGTCAACTCTGAAAGAATGCCACATTCTTTCAAGTGATCGTCGAATCCATGGATCAAATATTCGCCACCTCGATCCAATCGAAGTGCTTTAATTTTCTTGCCAAGTCGGTGAAGGTGATGAAATATCGGTAACTTAATTCTCTCTATCTCTTTCTGTAGGGTTTCGTAGTGACCCGACACTACGCGGAAGGAAACCCACCAAGACCCGCCCCTTAATTAAAGCAATTAAACAAGCATAATAAATTAATCAAACAAGATTAAGGACAAGAATTATACCTTTGACGCGTGCTTCGCTCCCAAAGAGCTCTTACTTCAAAATCCCGAAAAGACGAGATCTCTAACGAATCATACCCTCGACCCGACCCAAGCGTCCTAAGTCTTGAAGGTTAGTCAAGACCCGGACAAAATAACTATGAGTTTTACGAACCAAAGGTTTACTTTTTTCTTAGAGTTTCCTTTTTAATTCCACTCAAGGTTGTACCAAATCCCAATACCAAGCTTGGTATTTATAGGGAAATGATCCCTTGATTTTTCATCCTCCACCAATGTGGGAGAATGTATTATTGCTAATTAATTTATTTCTAAAATAAATTATTAAACAAAAACTAATCACAATGCAACAAGTGTCAAATAGAGAGAGAAGGTTAGGTGAGGACCATGAATGGGTGGGGGGGACCATTGCTTTGCTCCTCAAGGCCTTGCCCAAGCTTAGTCCCCACCCCTCACCTAAACCGCCACCTCGTGGCAGCTGGGCTGGCAGCCTGCCTTGGCTGCCAAGGCTGCCAGCTGGCGCCTAGCACCAAGGCTGGGCAGCCAGCCCGCTTGGTATGCTAGCAGGCAGTGCTAGCATGCACTGGCCTAGCACGCATCAGCCCTAGCACGCTGCGAGCTGCTGGGCGCTGATGCTGCTAGCCTAGCGCTGCAGCTGCCTAGCACTCTCTCGCATCGCATCGCTAGCACAGCCAGTGCTAGCTGGGCATCGCTGGCGCTGGCCCTCGCATCGCACGCATTGGCTGGTCGCACATTCATCACGCACCAGCCATGCGCTACGCACCTACGCACACACATTGCTAGCCCACACACATCATGCACCACCCTATGCTCGCACTAGCTAGTGCCTAGCACTGCTTGTGCTTGGTGCGAGGCATTCCCCACGCACACGCACATGCATGCGTGGTGCTGCTGCCTAGCAACCCAGCTAGCCATCGCACGCACACGCACCAGCCCACACGCATCAGTGCGGCTGCTGTGCGAGGCTGCGAGGCACACACGCACACACACGCATGCCCCTGACATTGCGATGGTTCTTGTGCATGGTGTCAGGCCTTGCGATGGTGCCTAGCAAGGGCTGTGCGCTGCGATAGGGCACCATATGCACCCAGGCACCACGCTAGCATGCTGCTAGCTGCTATGGGCTGCCTGGTGCCTGTGTGGCTTGCGATAGCTGCCATGCGCACCTAGGCACCCATGCTAGCATGCTGCTAGCTTGCGATGGGTTGCCATGGTGCGCCTAGCACATACATGGCGCGCCTAGGCTTGCTATGAGCTTGCCTAGCCTAGCTACGGCTACGCTCATACTTGTTGCTTGTAATTTTGCGACGATCGGTATCGACGCCCTAGGCTCGATTTCCGACGTCTGTATTCGTAAAACTCTGTCGACTCATTAAATCCTTTCGGATTAATTCGACGTCTTGGATCGGAGATTTGATTGGGTTCGACCCGAAGGGTTCAGTTAAAATCAAGCTGTAATATCAATTGTACCTCAATATTACTGATTGGAAGCGGCCTCCACCTAGGCATTCCGATCACTTGACCTTACTGAAGAATTAGCTCTGTAATAATTCTGAACCCTCTATCGGAATAATACACTTGTTGGAAGGACACCATTCCTTTCACTTTCCTAAGGTTGCCATCCTTTTCTTGAGTATTTGGAAATGTCGCAATGCTGTGATTTGTAAGAACTCTAAAACCACTATTACTAATGCCTATATTCGTTCTTTTTCTCATTTTAGGAATGACAATCCCGATGTGTTTTAGATACTATTCACATTTCCTGTAATTTCTTCCATTCGCAACTTAAAAATCCTACTTCTACTATTATTACTTGGTCTCCTCCTTCGTTTAAACTCAATTTTTATGGTTCTGATTTGACAATTCAGCTTATGTCAGTGTGGTTTTTAGAGATTGTTAAGGAAAATCATATTGCTAATCAAACCTATAACCTAGGTTCTTGCCTAGCTTTTCTTGCTGATCTGAGAACTTAATATCTCCATATTTTCATTGAAAAGAGACAATCCAACTGTAATGATATTTTACAGGGGTATTATACATAAATTTTCGTGGCAGATTTATCTTTTGTCGGATGATATCAAGACTATCTTGGACTCTTTCTTGACCTTTAAGTCATCCTTATTACATGTGTTTTGGGAAGGAAATCGTGCTGCAGATTATGTTGCTTCTCTCGGCTATTCTACTCCGACCCATTAAGATATTGACCCTTTTCAAGACAACAAGTTCTTATTTTTTATTTCTAGATAAATTGGGCACGATCTTCTGACAAGGCGTTCCTAATCTTAATCTTGTATTTTACTTTTTCAAAAAAATACTTCTATATATATAAATGAGATCTCGTACGAACTACCTTGAATAATAAGAACTGCGAACTAATATTAGCCATTTATAGCGTTAGACCTAACGGTTGAAGTTCCATCTTCCTTATTAAGGTCAGTTTTGTAATTTTGGGCATTGAATGACCTCCATTCTAACTCTCTCTCTCTCTTTCTTACTTTCGCTCTCTACGTTCTTAATTTCTCTCTCTACATCGGATCTCTCTGAAGGCGCTGAAGGCAATTTCATTGTTCGAATTCGCTCTTCGATTTTGCTCTTCGATTTCATCGATTTTCTTCTTCGATTTCGCAACTTCTTCGTTGTTCTTCTGCGTTTGTCCTTTTTTTGTTGTGATTCAATCATTCTAGAGAGGTAAATTTAGATTTTTTTTGTTTTGTGTATCTTCTTTGATGATTGATCATATAATTAGGGTTTTTGTTTTGTTTTTGTTCGATTTCGTTGTCGATTTCTATTATTATTTCTTTTGGTTTTATTTCTATTATTGTTTTGTTCGATTTTGTTTTCGTTTTCGTTTTCGATTTTACATATAATTAGGGTTTTTGCTTTTGTTTTTGGTTTGTTTTTGTTCTTCTTTACTGATTTTTGCTTTAGTTTGAGTAATTTTGATTATTCTTGATTTCGTTTGATTATGTAATGCAATTTTTTAAATGTTTTACTTAAGTTTGATATGTTATGTTCACTACTGCTTTTTCGATTTTTTGATGTATTCTTTTAGTTTTGCTTTTACTTTTAAATGGTTTTTATCTACTTTATATTTATCATTATTTACTGTTGATCAGAGGGTTGCTTTGGGATGGAATCTCATTTGGGATTGTAATTTGTAAGAGGGTTGCTCTCCTTCATGGACGTAGTCCAAGCTATTAAGTTTTTTTCTTAGAACTTAACACAATTTGAGCTGCCAAATGATGATATCTGAACATTTGCACAAGGGCTTTGAGTTCATTTTTAAAATGACCGTGAAAATCTGCTTGGATCTGATGGCAGCAAGTCATTAAGTTGTGTCCATATTAAGCACCAATTGATTTATCTCTTACTGTATCCCTTGGCTCTTCTTATGCACTGTTGCTTGCTTATCTGAATGACAAAATGCCTTTTTATCTTATATCCTTCTATATCAACCCGACTTACGAATTCCTTAATCTAATGAGTGGGGATCAACTACTAATTTGACAGCCCTCCTCTCTCTCAAAATATGTTATATGAATTTATGATGGTTTTTATTTATGTGGTTGATTCTTTGGTTCAGTACTTGGTTTTTTTTTCCTATTGAATGAAGGGTATTTTAAAGGTTTTGTCTATATGGCCATTGCTGCAATTCCATATTATTGATCCTTAACTGGTTTATCTATTCTCAATTATAATTTGGTACTTCGAAAGACTACATAAGGATGTTCCAGGAAGTTGTTGTTCCTAGAAGATTTTGGCTTGACCTGTTGATTTCCTCATTTTTTTTAATTGTTTTACTTTTCCTTTTAGTGATGTTTTGTCTACCTTTAATTTGGATTCATCTACTTTTCAGGATAATGTTTGAAACATTCTTTAAATATTTCATTTCCTCATTTTTTTAATTGTTTTCTTTTTACTTTTAGTGATGTTTTGTCTACTTTTAATTTGAAACAGTTGGGCTCTCTTCTCCTGATGTTCAAGCTGGAGATGTTAATGTAAGCATTTTTATAGCTCCCTCTCATGCTTTACTAACTAGGACAGTTTATAATACTAAAGGTGGTAAAGAGTTTAAACCTGGTTGGTCTATGGAAAATAAGCCTATTTTTAGAATGAAATTTAATTGTCTTCAAGATGGAATTGATTTTTACTATAAGTATGCAAGTGAATGTGGATTCAAAATCCGTAGTAGTACTAGCAAGGTAGAAAAGAAGTTGACTGGTCCTGATGGTAAAAAGGGTCTTGTACTTATTAATATTTGGTTGGTAATAAAGAAGGTTTTGTCAATGATAATAAGAAAGATAAAAAAGAGGTTGAAGGTGTTGTTTTTAGGAAGAACATAGTTAGGAGGATTGGGTGTCCAACTATGATTAAGTTTAAGTATTGTGATGGTGGAAAGTATATAGTTTATTTCTTTCATGAAAGTCATTGTCATCCCTTCTCAATTCCTAGTACTAGACAGGTTACTAAACCATATGATGATGGCTTAACTTGTGTTCATATGAAGTTTATATTGGATAATTCAAAGTTGAACATTGGAGTTGTTATGTCCTATAGGATGATGAAAGAATATTGTGGAGGCTATAAACATGTGAGAGGCACTAAAAATCAATTTAAAAACTTTCACTTGTTTGGGGATTCCATTTCTTTTGACACCACATATGATACAAATAAATACTCCTTAGTGTTCTGACCTTTTACTGGAGTTGACCATCATAAACGATGTGTCACATTTTGTGCAGCCTTGTTATCTAAAGAAGATGTGGAATCTTTTGTATGGCTTTTTCAGAATATTCTAAAGTGTATGGGAAATGAGCCTTCTTGCCTTATTATTGACCAAGACCCTGCAATGGGTATTGCAATACAGAAAGTTTTTACCAAAACGAAAATCGATTGTGCATGTGGCACATCATGAGGAAAGTGCTTGAGAAAGTGCGTACAACTTTCTGTAATGACACTGACTTTTTGAAAGAACTTTGTGCTGTTGTTTGGGACAGGGAAATTGAACCTAATGAGTTTGTTGATGGTTGGAATACTGTGATGGAAAAATATGATTTGGTAGCTCATGAATGGTTTGCTTATATGTTCAAGATCAAGCATCTCTGGATCCCAGCCTATTTTCACTACTAGAAAACAGCTAATCAACGACGAAAAAAATCCGTCGGAAAACCCTGGAATTCCGTCGGAAATGCCTATTTCCGACGGAATTCCGTCGGAATGCACCGTCGCATTACACTTTGTAGGAATTTCGCGATATTCCGAGGGAAATTCCGTCGGAAAGGTCCATTCCGACGGAATTTCCGACGGATTTTATTCTTTCGGAGTCAAGTTTGACTTAATTGGGAAGTCCGTCGCAAGTTTCCGACGAAAAATTCCGTCGGAAGAGGTATATTTCGACGAAAAATTTCGTTGGAAAATTTAATAGAAAAAAAAAAAAAAAAAACCTCCCACCCACCACCAGCCCACCCCCTGCCCCCCCTACCCACCCATACCCACCGACACCACCACAACAACCAACCCATACCCCAGACCCACCCACCGACACCACCACAATAGCCCACCCATACCCCACACCCACCCACCAACACCACCACAACAGCCCACCCATACCCCAGACCCACCCACCGACACCACCACAACAGTCCACCCATACCCCAGACCCACCCACCGACACCACCACAACACCCACAACCCCATCCCAACACCACCGACACCACCACAACAACCTTCCCACACCAAACCAAACCGACACCACCACAACCCCACCCCATAACCGCCGACACCACCACAACCCCACCCCATAACCACCGACACCACCACAACAGCCCACCCCACCACCACCGACACCACCACACCACCACCATTAACCCCAAAAAACCGAAAATAACCCCAAAAAGTTCAGAAAACCAAACTTAAACAAGTAAAATTAGTAAAAATGTATAAATATATAATTATCTAATAAATTTTATAAATTAACATTACAATTACATTTACAATTAACAAGATCTATGTTTCAAAAAAAAAAAAAACCTAGATCTAAACAATGGTCGCATTCAGGCACAAGTAGCCCCGATCTGCGCGTTTAAATCTTGTTCAATCTTGTTCAATCGAGTAGAAAGGGGATGCGTATGGGTTTAAATCTTGTGAACAGAGGAGTAGAAAGAGGATGCGTATAGGTTGCGGTGAAGAGGAGGTGAGGAGAGAGAAAGAGAGGAGCAGAGGAAAGAGAAAGAGGAGGAGGTGAGGAGAGAGAAAGAGAAATGAAAAGGGAAGGGGATAGGGGTCCGGATTTCATTAGGGTTTTATTTTTGATTTTTTTAAAAAAAAAAATCGTCGGAAAATGCCTAAATTCCGTCGGAAATTTCCGACGGAATTTAAGTCCGTCGGAACAAATCCGTTGGAAAACGACCTATACGGATTTAAAATCGTAGGAAATTAATATGTTCCGACGGATTTTTTCCCTCGAAAATTAATTTTCCGTCGGAAGAAATTTTCTGAGGGAATATTCCGTCGAAAGCAGTTAATTCCGAGGGATAAAAAATTTGTCGAAATATTTTCGAGGGATTTTCCATCGCAACTTATATTTTTCGACGGATTTTTTCGACAGACCAAAATTCCGTCGGAATATTCGAATTTTCCAACGGAATTTAAGTCTGTCGGAACAAATCCGTCGGAAAACGACCCATTTTTAGTAGTGTTTAGGGTTTTTTTTATGGGTGGTTTGTTAAGATCTACCTCTAGATCTGAGGGTGAAAACAACTTTTTTTGTAATTTCATAAATCCTCATGTGTCATGTGTAGAGTTTCTCTTTCGGTATGAAACAACCTTAGATGCACAAAGGCATGAGCAAGATGAACAGAATATACTGAACAAGCAATACCTAAACTGATTACTCCATTAAAGTTAGAGAAGCATGGTTCTTCAGTTTACACTCGTTCTATTTTCTATGAATTTCAACAAGAATGTAAGGCTGCTTGTTTTTCTTGCGGTGTTGAAAGCTGTAATTCTACTTATGGTGATGGAGTTGAGTTTTCTATTGTTGTAGATAATGAACGTCAAAGGAATTTTGATGTTACATTTGATTTATCTACACTAGAGTGTACTTATACTTGCAAGATGTTTGAGAGTCAGGGTGTTTTGTGCAGACATATATTATTCATTATGAAAGGTAAATCAATATCTGAAATCCCTGAACATTATGTTTTAACTCATTGGAGAAAAGATGTTAAGAAGAAATCTACATCAGTGGATGAGGCTATTAACTTTGACAAAAAGAAGCGACTAATCTTTGATGTGTGCTCAAAAATGTTCTCCTGTGTTAGTCTAGCAGAGGGTTGTGAGGATGATATGTCTGATTTTGTTAAGTACTTGTCTTCATTTGAGGAAGAGCTTATGAAAAAGAAAAATGGTGAATGAATGTTACTTTTAACTTTGTTTAATTTACTTTTATTCAGAATTTATTTACTTTACTACAACTTATATAGTTTTTGAATGTCAGGTGTAAGTTTTAAAGAAGGCAAAGAAGCTGATATTCAACTCTTTGTTGGATCTAATGATGTTGATGTAGATATCTTGCCTCTGAGTCAATGCCTCAACAAAGGGTCTGCTAGAAGTTCTAAATTCTTGAAGAGTGCCAAAGAGGTAGTTGTTGAAGAAAAAAGCAAAAAAGGAAGAACTTGTAGAGCTTGTGGGCAATCAGGTGTTTCTCATGACAGTAGAAATTGTCCAAAGTAGTTTCTCAGGTATGTTAATTTTAACATTGTTTATTTACTTTTATTTGATCTTTGTTTACTTTATTACAACTTATGTTCTTTTTGTTAATTTATTTTAGTTTCATCTGGGATAGGCAGGCTTCATTATTAGATTGATGCAATTGATGTTAAATATGCCTTGAAGTTCATAAAATATTTAGTGCTTTGTGATACTTTTTTCTTATTATAATAATGTTCACTACAGTCACTTTAAGCAATTTCTTTTGAACTTTGTAATACATTTCATTTACTTTAATACAGTACATTTAGTTTTATATATTATTTTGTATATAATAGAATTGGGTAATAGAATTTCTAATTTGTCCTTAGTTATATACATTCATCTCAAAGTTATGTTACAATCACTTTATGTAAAATTTATTTTACATCTCAATGATATTGCAAATAATTTTTGTTTACTTCTAACAATTTGTTTTTAACTTTTAAAGATATTTCTTTTATTTTTCATGTAATAGGTATTTCTTTTACTTTTACTTTTCATGTAATAGAATTTAATATTTGTCCTTAGTTATATAAGAGCTTGCCCCAGTTTCTCAAAATGGTAAATAATAGCAACTTTATAAATTTTTTATTCCTTTTCGTGGTTGACTCAACCACTCCCTCCTCCTTCAACCTTCCTTATCTTCTTCAACCTTTCCCATCAACAATGATAGACGAATTGCAACACCATAACAAACACCATGTCCATCACCACCAACATCATGCCCAAAATGGCCCCAGCACAACAAACCCTGACCCCGCCATCTTCAAATTAAGGGCGTGGGTTAACCCTAAATGGAAGGTGTTTGTTATTGTTTGTGAGCTTTGCATCCATTGTTAAAGAATTCTTCGATTTCGAAAGTTATACATTCATCTCAAAGTTATGTTACAATCACTTTATGTATAATTTATTTTACACATAGTGCAAATAATTTTTGTTTACTTTTAACAATTTGTTTTTAACTTTTAAAGATATTTCTTTTACTTTTCATGTAATAGATATTTTAAAACATATACATTTTTATTTAATAAAAATATACCCCATATGACAGTGAGTGAACCAATATAGACACACAACATACATATTATTCTCATTTTTATGCATTACTTTAATAGATAATCCTTTTACTTTAATATATAATGTTTTTATTTTAACAGATATTTCATTTACTTTTCAAAACCATTTTTTTTACTTTTTAATTTATATGCAAATATATTCACAAACATTTTTTTTGCAATATTAGAATGCTCAATAAAGAAAATAAAAATATATATTACTTTAATAGATAATCCTTTTACTTAAGGATATATTTTGGTTACATTCAAAAACGTTTTGTTTACTTTTTAACTTATATGCACATATCATCCCTTGGTATTGCAATTGGAGGTTCAAATGTAACAAGTTGCTCACTTTATAATTACACAAAAACAACTTGTTTTATTAATATTTATAAACTAAAAGGAATTTGAAATAAAGTAAATAAAACAATGCTAAAAGTAAAAGAATAATATTACCCTTTCATTGATTTATTTTTAAGAAAACAATAGTCAGCCTCCACTTGATGCAATTCTGGCATTTCTTGCATTCTACTTTTGTTTCTCTTCATACACTTGCATACGTAATTCACTTCAGTTCCTGTTTTTCCACAATCCACAGAAAACTGAATCATAGAAGCAAATTCATTCAAAAAGTTGAATGGATGTTTTGATGTTTGATTTGCAGTATTTGCATCAACTGCTACACTAACATCAGCTTTCTCCTCTTGTTCCTTTTCATTCTTTTCTTTCACCTTCTCATCTTCCTTTTTCTTCTCTTTGTTTTTATCTGTCTCCTCTTCCTTTTTGTCATCTTCCTTTTCCTCCTCTTTTTCAGAATCTTCATTTTCATTATCCAGATTAATAGCATTATGTACAAAATTTGAAGGATCGTCTGCATCCTCTTGATTATCTCCATCATAATCTTGATTAGCTTCAGGATTTTTATGTCGCTCCTCCCATGTTGATTGAAACACATTAGATACAACTCTCAAATTATCGTAAATCTTCACTATTTTAATAATAGCCCTTTGCACTCTAGAGTCTTCTATTAGCCTTTGTGTTTCAGAAAATAGTTGAGATTCCGATGCAGACACACTTGATTGATTATTTTTAATCCTCTGTCTTATGCAGTTTATACGCTCGGCATGTAACATTGAAAAGATTGTTTAATCTCTAGCCAATAAAAGCAGATCTTCTTCAACTTCTTTCAAATAAATAACAAAATTTTTTTATTACAATACTTTTGATAAATGATACTATTTACTTTTAAAATTAATTTCCTTACTTTACAGTGTATTTTATTTACTTTTTAGTCTATCATTTACTAAACATTATTACTACTAGAAGTAGAACAAATAAATATAAAATATGAAATTGTGACCAATCTCCATGGTAAATTTGGGTTTATCAGTATATAATTCTAATTCCTACAAGCAAGGTACTAGTTATACTATTCTATATAAGGTTATCACTTAAACAATCTTATAAGCAATTTTACTTAAAGCCTAATAAACACATAGCAAGCAGCAATGTTCTAGCAAAATTAGCATAGTAGAAGGTAGAGCAGAAGTAGCATTGCAACAACAGGTGGCATAGCAAAAGTAGCATAGCAGCAGCTAGTCATGGCAGGGCAGCAACTGTAGCAGCAGCAGCCTTGGCAGGGCAGTAGCTTTAGCAGTAGAAGCCTTGGCAAGGTAGTAGCAGCATCATCCAAAGAAAAGCAAAATACATACCAAAGTGCATATTCAAAATGAAATAACAATGGAAAATTCTCAACGGCGACCCCAACTTCTGCTACGCACCAACGGTAACCCCTTTTTTTGGATTATACAAAATGACCTTAGTTATCTTTTTTCTTCTAATGATGACATTAATGATGGTTTTTTAACATAAAATTAAACCATGGTTAACAAAAATAGCAAAATGAAAAAAATGCCCCCTTTTATTTCACCCAACCACCCGATTTAAATTCCCTCCATTTATCTATCTCTCCTTCATTCTCCCTCTTCATTACTCTTCATCTTCTTCCTTCTGGTGCCTTTCCCATCAAAAAGTTCATCGAGACACAAAAAAAGCAGAGCATTGAATGCGAACTCTATAATACCATCAAAAATAGATGGTGATAGTCATTTTTATTCTAGGGTAAAGTAAAAGGGGATTCAAACTTTTTTGATTTCAAAAATTGCGACTAGGGTATTCAAGTTTGGGCTAAGAATTGGGGGTACCTGGTGAAAGATCGAATCTTTTTGCATCATCTAGCCAAAAAGAAGTTCAGGTATGCATCCAAAACCCTAATTTTTATATAACGTTTGAGTTGTGCATGTTATGTACTCTGTTTTGGCATGATCATTTTGTTGCATGTTTTATGTGGTTATATTGAAGTATTATGCCCTAAAATGAAATTTTTTGTTATCTTGTTTACTGATTTTGTGTTAAGGACTTGCTTGTCTGTGTTTGTGCTTGGAATATGGTATGATGTTAGAATGAGTGATGCGGTGGTGTTGAGGTTTCAGTATAAGGGTGTTGAGGTTGATGTGTAGTTGAGGATATTGACATAGTCAATCTAGTTGACCTAGTGATAGAGTATTGGGATAAGGCTGTTGAGATTAAGAAACCAATTCCAAAACATGCTAGTTTTGCTTATGTTCACAAAATGAAACATGTGGACTTGAATAATGATCAAGACTTGGTGAAAATGTTTACTAACTTAAATGGAAAAGACCCTATACATATATGGGTGGGTGAGGCTAATTCATCAAATGAGTTACTGAAGGCTGCTAGGACTTTGAGGGCAAGTAGGATACTTGCTGAGTTGAAACAAGGTATGGGACAGTTGGGTACGACATAATGTGATCATAAAAAAGGAATCCCTAGGAGAAGTCTAAGGAAGCTAGAAGGTAGTTCAAGTCAACCTGTGATAGATGTTGAGAGACCTAAGAAACTAACCCCTAGGAGAAACATTTCATCCAATGTCAGAGAACCTGTAGACTCAGTTCCAGATCTTATTCCTAAACCTGTTAATGAGAGAGATAATGAAGCTGACGATGAAAGTGATGGTGAACCTGTTGAAAACCCTATAGTTGAAATATATAATGTAGTACCTAGTGATGATACCTGGGCCGGTTTGATGAGGGAAATGGAAGAAGAACAAGAATACATGAGTAGGGGGAGAGGAAGAGGGAGGGGGAGACCTAGAGGGAGAGGTAGGGGGAGAGGTAGGGGTAGAGGTAGGGGGGAAGAAGCACATGTCAAGCTGACAGGAAGTAGGATATGGCATAGTGGACTTGGAAGAGACTTGAAGGCATGGTATTGGAAGCAATTGGAGAATGCAGTAGAGACTGAGGCTAAGAGGTTGGCTAGGGAGAGGTATGAGAAGAGAGAAGAAGAGATGAGGAAAGAATTAGGGTTACCACCTATAGAACAAGACAAACTAGTCCAGGTACTCAGAAGAAGTCCAAGAAAAAGTTTCCAAAGTGATGGTCAGACAGAATCTAGGATAGATGTGATTGCACCACCTCTGTCGTCTAAGATGAATGTTATCACAAGGCAAGCTTCAGGGCCTACTGGGGAGATAGTGACATCTTATAAATATTCCAAGACATCTAGCACATTTGGTAAAAGAATTCCAGGGGCTACATCTAGGAGGAGGGGATTGATTATCAGAACAAGTTCTAATGAAGCATCCGAGCCATCAAACCAACTTACTGTGAGTTTGGGTGGAGATGAAGCTATTCTGAGTGATGAAGGGGATGAAGGGGATGGTGGTGAATTAGATTCTAAAGAAGATGAAGATCAGGAAGATGATAATGTAGATCAGGGAAATGAAGATGAAGATGATATGGATGAAGATGATGTGACAACTTTGACCCTTGGAAAGACCTTGTGTGGTGCTGACAATGTAGATGAAGATTACTTTGCAAAATTGTACAAAAATGGAGAGTTGTACAATGATGAGGAGTTTGGCAAAATTGTCATCAAGGCATGGCAATTATTCACATATAAACAACATTTGAGAGATGTTGTGAGGGAAAACTGCATACAAAGTGGGTTTTCTGTAGTTGTGCTCAAGGCATCTAATTTGAGGTGGACAGTTAAATGTTCTGCAAGTAACTGTGAGTTGAGGCTGCATGCATCTAGGCTTCCTGATGGTGTCACATGGGCAATCAAGTCCATTCAGAACATGGAGCACACTTGTTTTGGTTTAGAGGTGAAGAATCCTATGGTGTCTACCAAGTGGGCTGCAAGAGTGTTGCTTGAGGATATAAGAGCCAACAATGATATCCTTGCCAAATCATTGAACCAGTTACTCTGGCAAAGATATGGAGTACAAATGTCTGCAAGTACTCTATATAGGATGAGGTCAAAGGCTCTGAGGGATATTAATGGGGGTCATGACATCTCATATGCCCAGCTTCCTGACTACTGTGAAATGGTGGGATCAACAAACCCAGGTTCTTCTGCATTCTGTTCTTGGACACCTGAAGATCATATTGACAGGCCTCTACAGTTCTGCAGTATCTTCATATCATTCAAAGGTTGTATAGATGGGTTGCTAGCTGGCTGTAGGAGCTTCATAGGTGTGGATGGGGCCCACTTAAAGGGGAACTATGGTGGTGTCCTGTTATCTGCAGTAGCACTGGATGCAAACAATGAGCTATTCCCCTTTGCTTGGGCAATTGTATCAGTTGAGGATACAGATAATTGGAAGTTCTTTGTGTGGCATTTGAAGAACTTGCTCAAAGACAGTGGGAGAGGTGATGAGTGGTGCATTATCTCAGAAAGACAGAAGGTATGAAACTTAGCCTCAATTTTCTTTGTTAACTTCCTTGAGCATTTCCTTGTCTTACATCTGTCTTTTTTTATGTAGGGTATTGATGTTGCATTAACTGAGTTGTGGCCAAAGGCTGGAAGAAGATATTGCTGTAAGCACCTGGTAAAGAATTGGAAGAAACCATTCCCTGGTCCTTTGATGTTTAGTCTATTCTGGAGGGTTTGTGGGACCTATTCTGAGTTCACATTCAAGAAAGCCATGCAACAGCTGCAGAAGGTCAATCCAGCTGCTTTGATATGGCTGTCTAAAGTTGGGGACCAATCAACATGGACCAAGCACAAATTCAATGAGGCTATCAAATGTGATGTAAACAAAAGCACAAATTCTGGAATTCCTTGCAAGCATGGCATGAGAGCCATCTTGCATGCAAGGCTTGATCCAAAACAGTTTGTACATGAATGGTACTTTGTGAGAAGGTAAAAGCTGCATATGCTGCTGGAATCAACTCCATCCCTTACAATGGCCAGACTTTGACATGCCTAAAATTAAACCTCCTGCCATGAAAAAAGGAGTTGGTAAGCCTTGTAGAGAGAGAAGAAGGGATGAAGATGAAGAAAGGAAGGGCAAGAGAAGCAAAACCATTAAGTGCAGCAACTGACAATGCTATGGGCATAACTAAGCAACATGTAGAGGAGGCCCCACTACAAGACAAGCTGCTGCTGTTTCTGCCTTTACAAAGGGTAAAAGGAAGCAAACTGCTACTGCTTCTGCCTCTACAAAGGGTAAACGGAAGTAAGCTGCTGTTGCTTTTGCTGCTGCAAAGGATAAAGGCATTGCTACTTCAGCTTCTGCAAAGGCTAAAGGCAAAGCACCCATGTCTTATTCATAGCCTGCTCCAAAAATGAGGAAGCTTAGTGTAATTAGATTCTCAACCCAGCCTCAGTAGATAAATGTGTTGGTTGTAAATAGCATAAGTAAATAGCACTGGAAACTGATTTTTGGGTATTTGAACCAGGTTATTTTGGGTATTTTGGGGGGGAACAGGGCATCTTATGGAAATAGCACTGGAAACTGCTTTTTTTGGGAATTATCAGTTTGGATTGTGAACAATTGCTTAAGTTTTAATCTCCAAGTATTGTTCCTTTATGTTTATATGTGTCCAGCCATGATTTATTATAGTTCATTGATACAATTGAATAACAGAGCAACAAAACAAAAGAAATTGAATTTGAACAAAGTTCTAATTTTTATTTAAATAGGATGATCAGTACATTATTCAACTACCTAGAATGTTAAGGACTAAGTACAAACATCCCAATTGCACTTACATGAAACCCTAATTTCAACTAATTTCCCCCAAATTATCAATATAGGGTTTACAAATTCATTCATTTAATTAAAGTACAGAAAAACCAAATTAAAAACATCCCAATTGCAATCTTCATCATCTTCTTGCCAAAGCCATCGAAATAACCTTCATCATTGACCTCATCAACAATCCTCACAATATTTTCTTCGGGAACCCATGCAAAAAAGTGACAGCTACTGCATTTGTAGTAGGGCCTATCTGGATTGGAGCGTGTGTCAGAAAAACGCACATCTAGAAATCGCCTGAATGAACAATAGTAGTAGCGAAACTTGATTGCTTGAGCTCTTCCCATGGTGGCTGCGTAAAATAGGATGACGAAGAAGACAACAATGGAGGAAGTTGGGGGAATTAAGGGAGAAAGGGTTTTTTATAACCGTTGTCTGACTTTTGGGGGGAAAATGTTAACCATGGTTAACTTTAGTTATGATATTTATGTTAAAACACCATCATTAATGTCATCATTAGGAGAAAAAAGATAAGTAGTGTCATTTTATATAATAAAAAAAAGGGGGTTACCGTTGGTGTGTAGCAGATGTTGGGGGTCGCCGATGAGAATTTCCCAATAACAATAGATCAAACTCCCAAAGAAAAGCATGAGATTAAAGTAAAGGAATTTCAGTTTAAAGTAAATAGAATAATACAAAAGGTAAATACAAAAAAACCTAACAAGTCAATGAACAAGAAATCTTTGCAAGCTAGAAAAAATACTCACATCATGTGCTGCCTCATGTATCTCACTACCTGTCATAACACCATATGGAAGGTTGGAAGAGACTAATCTTCTCTCTCTACCTACGAAATTCGTATATGCAGTATCAATAACATCACCTAAATATGATTGTTGACCTCCTTTTCTACAAACCGGATATACATCTTCCTGGATTTCTCCTTGACCAAATGATGCTTTTGCTTCACTTGCAATTCTTTTTCTTACTTTCTTATCTGTCCAATGTTTGATCAAGGGCAATGTTGTTGGTTCAGGTTGTCCTCTAAATGAAAGGTGATGAAAGTACACAATCCGAAGAATCAGAACACATCCACTGATTCCTGTTCTTGATTCCTTATGCTTGTTTTTCCTTAAGATCCCCACTGGTTTGCACAAGTTATTGAGTACATAACCACACCGTTATGTATTTCTTTAACATTGTCTGCATAGCTGATTATCTTGTAATCTATCACTCTGTTTGCAACAGGGGCCAAGAATGTGCTGCAAACATACATCACAAAGAACCTTTTAAAATCATCACCTCCTTCCTTTAGACTCTTTATTTTGTTCTCCAAATTATTCACAAAGATGTTATCACTTTCTACAATTTCTAGCTTCTTCTTCTACTCATTCTGAATCATGATGTTTGCTATAGGTTGCTTCCTTAACTGATAAGTCAACTTGTTCCTTGTTA